GAACAAACAGAATGCAAGCACTTACAGTCACAGACAAAAACAATTAGTGCTGCAACATTCAGTCACATCAAAAACATTTTATTTTTCAATACGAGGTGAGTAGAAACTCTACCAGCAATGTCAAACCACCTAGCAAAGCAGTCAAAGAAGATAAAGGAGGACTGTCGGCATATTACTAATGATACTAGTAATAAAATAAAAATCAAATTTCAGTTTGCAGTGCATTCAATTTGTCATCTTTTTCATGTTCTATTTAAGGGGACTCTGTATAAGGGGAATCCTAAGGGAATTCTTAAGCATAAATGCAGTCCTGAAGTAAAGAAATAATGACTTATTACTGGAAATAATGATCAATGATTTGGGATAATTATCAATGTCAACTGATATGAAAGAAATTGTTGATCAAGTATTTTGCCATAATCACCAAGCCCTACCAAGAAACGTACCTTGGCACTTAATGTCTTGTGTATAAATTATCAATGAAAACACATACGCAAAACTAATTTGTGAAAACTCCAGACTAGTGCTTCAAAAAAGACAGTTTTAGGACAAGAAAGAACAGCCAACATGCCTGTCCATCTCCACTCTGTCTCTCGCCAGCTAGGTTCCCTCTGTCTTCTGTCTTCGCGTCTTTATCCCGGTCTTCCTCGTCATCTTCCCCCTGGTCCACAACTACGACCTGCTCCAACAGCTCTGCACAGGGTTTATCATCTGAAGATTTTTCCTCAGCATGGGGCTTGGAACCTTCATCACTGAACTGCTTTCCAGCAATATCTTCCTCTTCACCCTGAGAAAGAGGACAAATTTTTCCAGCATATACAACGCCTCATACTACTATAACACAGTGCATGTATCACATTACTCCCAAACAGGAGTGGTGTATCATATTTATTAGACTGTTTTTGAAAGCTTAATTTATACATGGTTTAGGCAATAAGATTAACTTCAATGCAGGTTTTCCACAAAAACCCAACAGCATCCTTTAAACAATCGCTGAACTGAATGATCCAGGCTAGCTGGTCATGAGGCCAGGAGTTCCCTTGATGAACACAACACAAAAATAGTCTTGTATTTCAGAAGTGATACATTTTAGCAGACTCCCAGGTTCATATCTGGCTTAACATATTACACTTTAGTATATACTGGTCTTACGCCAACATTTAGCCTAGTTACCTCAGATTGAGAACAGTTTTCTTCTGGATCTGCACTGTCGTAGTCTGACAACACAGCTGGAATGAACATCCACAGATGAATCAGTAATTTGTGCCCTTCTCAATTGTGGTTTTTGCAAACACAAATCAGTATCATCATACTTACCCTCTCCAATGCCATCCTCACTCTCCTGGATCAAAAATACAAACAAATACTAGATTAAGGCTACAGCCAACACAGTAACATTAGGTTGGCCATTAGACTACGATGCCTGTTGTACTGTGCAAAACAGTTTCTTTAATCAAGGTCGCAGGGTAACACAAAAGCGGCATATTGGGAAATAAAATATTTTCATTTCTTTAGCTATTGACATGACCCATTTAACGTGGTAATTCCGGTCTCCTAACTTCTCGTGAAAGCCATCCACAATATAGCTTATTAATATGAGTACAATTTGCATATCAGACTAGTGTACACCAGAGGCAACACAGACCGCAGTCGGTCCTCATAGCACAGGCGAAAAATGACAGAAGGCGGAATTATACTACCAAACCATCAAGTTTTCTGCTCATTAACGACGATTATTCATGACAAACTTATCTGGCTTAAAATATTTTAAGCAAAAAACATGTTTCAGTTGACCCCCTCAATCTTTTATAGACTCGGCTAATAACTCGGCAAGCTGGAGAACCAGACTCACGATTTTCTCTACATACGAAGTTAGTTTGGCTTCTTTCTACAAGTCGTTTCCCCCGTTAAATATGTCGTGTATGAAATGATGATACCACGAGGCCTGTGGAAGAGGAGGTAGCGAGGCAAGTGTCCTGCCCCAAAAAACGAAGGAATATGGTCACTCACACACTCGGACTCCTCTTCGCTTTTAGACCGAATGCGGGGACTGGGTAACGCAGCAGATTCGAGATCATTCACGGTAGCTTTTCCCGGAGCAGAACCCAAGCCCCCGCTTTCGGTACTCGAACCAGACTCGTCCTCTTCTTCGCTATCCTGAGACGCGCGCTTCCGTCGCCTCCTGTCCGCCATCTTGGAAATCAGATGATTGAAAAAAATCCCAGGCACCGCACAGCACCATGGGAGTTCTAGTTGAATCCGAAAGTGAAGGATCTGTGCTGCTCTCCGGGAGACGCAGGCCGAGAAGTAGCCAATTAAAACGAGGTGCTGCGAGACCAATGGAGATAAACGTCTGAAAAAGCCACATGCTCGTCAACAAATTGCCCGTCTAATGTTCATTACAAGAAATACATTTAAGGAAAAAAACAGCTTTAAATGATTTTCCCTTCTTTTTTTCTGTGATTTTAAATATTTAACTGCTAGCTTATGTATGTGGGGAATATTAAGTTTTGATTACTGTATTTTATTTTTTGCACTAGTAGTAGAAAATGAATTAGTCACGAATAACATTGATTTTAACTTCAAGGACAGGATAGATAGTCGCCAAACAGCAGCGACTTAAGTTACCACAGTAAGAATCATAACATAAACTGTATGTGGTGTGCTTCACAAAGATCCAATTTATAATAGGACTGCCTGTGAGAGATCTTTGTATCAAAAACCAATGATCAAATACAAAAAATTAATATGATCTTAGATACCTTTTCTGAGTTTATATTTGGAGAGAATTTAAGGATGCCTTTAAACAATGTCTCTCATCTAATGTTAAACACTGTTGTTCCATGTTGTCCTCATATTCCACATGTCCTCATACACTGCCAAACATATTCAAGGGTGGGTTCATACACCTCATGCTAAAGTAGAATTTCTTCCATGACCTTCCCAAACACGAGACCTAAACATTCATAAAGAGTGCAAAATGTAAAGCTAATTTGTCCACCAAAGAAGTCGAGGATTTTCTTCTTGAAAAATCATCTAATATACAACTGCACACACTTGAGAACATATATTAATGCATTGGGTGGTGTTTTCATTATGTCCACTCCGTGTGTCTTCAGTGTTGTGTAATGATTGACGTAAAACCAAGTTGTTGTTTTTTTAATAATTATAAAACTGATAGTGCTGCACAGTGACTCTGGGGGTAGTGCTAAGACTTCACACATACTCGCACCTCAGTTTAGACATAATTTGCATATCTCACTGTCCCCCCCACCCCCACCCCCCTTGTGCACTGTGAAGACTGGCATCCTATCCATCTTTGTCACAGAGGCCACATTATTAGGAACACCTGAACAACGGCTTGTTCATTTCATGCATATATATCATTCAGTTATTTGGATTTTATTTTCTTTATATTCAACTCTTTTCATAATAAAAATATCCCTTATAACTATTTCACAGTCTTGTGTGTATGTGTTCCCTGCAATGAACTGGCATCTCAAACAGGATGTCCTCTGCTTCGTGCCCTGATCATCCTGGGACAGGCTCCAGGCTCACCGGGACACTGAACTGCATAAGCAGTTATGATGGATGGAATTACACAATCCACCCACACCAGATAATCGCTTTATATAACACCATACACACATTGCACTTTAATTCAACATCTCACCCTTGATTTAGCAATACTAATATTTTATTGGGATACAATATAAGCTAAGTCTACATAAAGTTATGCATAGATTGTAATATGGCGTGTCCTTTCCAATAATTCAGATTTTCCATAGTCTGCCTTAGAATTTGATGATACCGCTTTGTAGGCCTATATTTAGCCCTGGACGATACGACAAGTGTAACTGCACTCTAGCCCTGGCACACTACATTCAATGAATTTCGCTGTCGACTAATCTAGCGCGTTAAGGAGTGATTTTAGATTAAAGTATGTAAATTAGACTACAACTGAAATGAAAACCTTCTTAAAGTGCGGCGTTGTTACTAACAACCACGAAATAAAATAATGTTTAAAAATAATACAATTTCAGTCATACACAATTTCGTTTGCAGCATTGACATGACTGCAATTTTGTAAAGAGTACAAATTACGGCCCCGGCACTGCGCATACGTTGTTTGCACATTCTCTAGGCTATGTATCTCTCCGGGTAGCCTTGGTTTCCTTCCGCAGTCCAAAACCAAGCGTTTAGATTACTGATATAGTACCGCACTTGATTTTCAAGTAGCGTTGACCAACGAGCCTCTTACCATCCCATGGTCTAAGGTTCTAGGCATTGCTTTTTTCTCTATATGATATATTACTACCCACAGTGCAACTGTTTTAAAATGCGGTAAACTGTTGTACTGTTTTAAACGTTTAGAGCATCATCAAATCGCTTATCCTGACGAATAAAATACATAAGGAAATAAATAAGGAAATACAAATTCAAAACCCATAATGGTCTATAGGGGTTTATCAAGTACAGTCTGAGAGACTAGGATGTATGACTGCTCTGCTGACGACTATTTATCTGCTTGTTAAAATCATGATGAAAATCTACGCAGCGACCGTATCTTCATCTTAACTATTTGGTAATGAAATGAGAAGCGTTTTGATTAGGTTAATATGGCATTTATTACAATTTTTGTTGACTTTATTTTGGCTGTGTTATATTATCGGCAACTATAAAAATCAAGTAGCCTATGTACTTTAAAGAATAATCTTATCCTTTTTAATACTGTCTATTAAGGACCGACTTTTTCCTTTCTAGCATGGCAAACACCACCTGCCCCTCCCAAACAAAACTCCTAACATTTTACAACTGCAAATGCAGCAAAAACCCTGAAAACCGCGTCTGAACCTCCATTTCGCGTCGGCTGGCTGTTATTCCGTCTTTTCCCCTTTAAGACTCGGAAGCTGCGGTCTCCGGGCTGCGCATGCGCAAATTGACAGACGTTTTTAAACACGTACCGAAGAGCGTGGAACATGAGGGTGATAGGTGAGTTGGAGTGGGCCAGTGAAATGGGGGGACAATGGTAAAAAGAGTCTTTGGCGAGGAAGTAATAATAATAATAAAACAATCCGAGATGTGGCGCGAAGTGTGTAATTTACTGGTGTGCTATCAGCATTAGAAAACTGGTATTTGAGGTTTACGAGTCGCCCTTAACTGCAAAGAGCTATAGTGTTATTGTTTTTTTTTCTTCGCAGCAATCTAAAATGGAGGAGCTCTGCTGTGGCAATGGGCAGTTCTTACGCTTATTCGTTTGAGAGATATACATACGTTTATTTTTACTTAATGGACCGAAAGGACATTAAAAGATGAAAATATCAATAACTGACCAGGCAAATGCTTTAGTTAATAGAGTTTAACGTGCCGGTTTGATGTGGTGTTTTTGTAACTAGTCGCGGTTTAAAACGAAGCGCGGTGGATGGTTCGCTCACTTGCGTCGTCGGCGCTTTTTAAGACATTAGATCGCCGACGTAATCGGGGGTGAGCGACGTTTGTTCGCCGTAGTCTGATCGAGGTATGATTCTAGAAAATGGAGGCGATTTTCTGCGGAGAAACGAGAAGGGGGAAGCGACTTTAACCGAGGGAAAAAAAAACACACGGCATATCAGGTTGGCCCAGTGACTAAACAACAAGGTAGGTAGTGGCCCGCTTTTACAGTCATTTAAAATCCGGGATGTGGGGAGAAATTTGGTGCTGAGGGGCCGAGTGCGACTGCAGTGCGGCGCCGCATTTGTACACTTCGCACGCAGCAGTGACACCCCGGCTGGCTTCGTAGGAGGCAGTTAACCGAGCGAACTGTTCCTGCCAAATTAATTTGCCTCGTTGTTTGTCGCAGGATGAAGAGTGACAGTTGACCTCCCATCGCACCCGCCCATCCCAAATAAACAAATGTTTTTGTGGGAGATCTCAAAGCATTCGGACTCTACTGGGCGTCTACCTTACAGCTAGCTGATAAGCATTTTTCATTTAACAAGCGATCGCAGCCAGGTGTGGGAGGCGGCTAGGCCGCTCGCTTGGGAGTCAGGGGGGTGGTGTTTGCTCGCCATGAATATGAGATCCACTGTGTTTGCCACTGCGGGATACAAGCTGGACACGGAGATAAACGACAAACCCCAGACGGGACCCGGCAACTCGGTCAGCATAAAGAGAGAGTGCAGCTTCGGGGACGACCTCCACGACGTGCTGGGGGACATCAGGAACAGCGGCGACCAAAAACCGCACGGCAAGTCCAGGAAACTCAGCCTCGGTCACGCCGGCAGAGCTGGCCGGAGCCTTGCGGTGGGGGGACAGAACAAGCCCGGCGCCGCAGAGGGACAAGAGGAGAACTGGGTAAACGCGGGGACCCTGACAGTCCCGGCTAAACAGATGGGGGGCGAGGGCACCCCGGTGAAGAGTAAAACGTTGTTCGGATATAACAACAGTATGGACAAAATAGAAGTGACTGCGGCAAACGCTAACAATAGCTCCAGGGATGTTAGCACGGAGGGTGGCGACAGAGTGGCTGCCGCAGGACCTTTTAACATCTCTCCGCTGGAGCTCGGATCGGAGGGAAAGTGGAAAAGCGTGAGGAAAAGCAGCAGCCACTCCCCCGCGCAGGCCACCTGCCTCCGACAGATTCTCCTGCTGCAGCTGGATCTGATCGAGCAGCAGCAACAGCAGCTGCAGTCCAAGGACAAGGAGATAGATGAGCTGAAAGCGGACAAGGAGACGGTATGCAAAGAGTTAACTTAGCGATCTAACGTGAAGCGTGTTTGCGGCATATGGCCGGATGAAATGTTTAATATTAAACATGACCCCCCCCCCACACACACACACACACACATTATTTATATACACACACATACATAATTTTCGTATAAAGTATGTTCTCACATTTGGTATATTTTGACCTAAACTGACATTTTATATATTAAAATTAGATGGTTGTGTTTTAGATGTAAACTTTTAAGTCTCAGCCTAATTGTATGAGCACATAATTTATATATATTTTTGGAGATGCCCAACTTAATGGAATCGTTTAACCCTTAATTATGTTTACTGAAAATAACATTTCTTTGCATAGTCTGTCAAATTATCATTTCAGTCTAAATGAAGTAAGTTGTATGTATGATGTTTTTTATGGTTATCTTCTAGTGTGTGGTTCTGAGTATTGCCTCATGTTGAAATGTGTATTGTTTGTTTGTTTGTTTATTAGCTTTCTAATGGTTTACTCTAATGCATGGGCAGACTATATACAAAAAGTATATAGAAGATATAGTTTACTTGTCTGTATGCAGCTGCTGGCACGGATTGAGCGCATGGAGCGCCGCTTACAGCTGGTGAAAAAGGATTCACGTGACAAGCGCCTCTTCCAGCCTCTCGAACCCTGGACACCAGACAAGGATGATGACTTAGAGGGTATAGCTGGTGACAGTACACCAGTATATACCCCGAAGACCCCGTCATTTGGCCGAGGTGGCAAAGGCCATAAAAGGTATCGACAGAAATGGTATGCCTCGCTTAAATGTGCATATTGTTACTATGTGCAGAATTAAAAAAATTTGTCTACTACAAAAGAGCTATCTACATAACTAACAACATGTTGACATTAATTGTTTATTGATTAGCTACTGACTGGCAGGAAATTGTTCTTAATTTCGGAATTTGTTGTGAATTATAGTGGTTATATTTTGCCGTAATAAGTGTAAATCATAATTTTTTAACAATGTTTTCTGTTTTATCTCTTATGCACCTGATAACTAGATGAATTCACTGAATAGTTTGGCTTTTTATTTATAGGAAGTTCTGTTTTCTGGAATCCAAGACACAGAAGTCTCGGGGAAAATCAAAATTTTCGCCCCAAAAGTTAGAGACTGAAGGCTTCCAAAGGGAGTTGCGCAGCAAAGAGACTCCAGAGAAGGTGGGGGTTGGACAACCTCCAAGTCCACCTCAGTCCAAAGAGTTACCACAAAGCTCTGCTCAGATGGAGGAACTTCCCTACATGTCTACTACAGAGATGTACCTGTGTCGCTGGCATCAGCCACCCCCCTCTCCTTTGCGTGAGCCCTCCCCCAAGAAGGAGGAAGTTGTGGCTAGTAAGTCCTTTTCACAGTCATTGCAGTAGATGGTAATCAGTTGGCGTCTTCTTCATGAGCTTCTGTTTGGGACAGTGTTGCTGGATATTATATACATAGATTCTGCTGGGTGTAGTTTGTGTAAAAGGTAAAAAAAAATGCATTATATTGTAACACGCAGTAACACTCCTTGTGTCCTGTGCTTAGTCCCATCTTGGAGAGAAAATACCATGGTCCCCCTGGAAAAAGAAGCAGTCTCTGACATCCCAGAGGTAATGGAAAGTGTTTCAGTAGCATAGGCTAAGCCTTTGTTCTGTGTGAAAGAGATTCCAAGAATGAAAATTGGAAACTTCTCTAGATGTACTCTCATGCACTTTATGCATGCATGCATGCATCCATCCATGTTCTGTAACTTCTTGTCTCCTATAGAGATGTAGTGAGTCTGGAGCCTAATTTGAGGTTTCTGATGTACGTAATTTTATTAACTACTGGTTTCTGATGTCGAAAATGAAATATCTGGACTGATTTTGGTCTTCTCGGCTATGCATGTTTCAAAAATTAATGTCTGCGCCAATAGATGGTGGTCAGTTGCAGAAAAGTAAATCATGAAACACTTTGTTAGGTCAGTCATCCAATTCATGCTCCTCATACAAGATGCTAACGTAGGTTAATGGCAGAAGGCAAATTTAATTACAGAGGAAGGGTGGTCCAGCAAAATTATCCAACCAGTTCTCACACTTGCATACTGCACATAATAAAAACAATATTGACTGTTGTCATGAACACAGTGGCAGTGTTTCAGTGCCTGAGTGTAGTATTGTGTGTTAAAACTAATAAATGTAAAAGAATATAATGTAAAAGCATACTACCACATCTGAATGTTAAGAAGAAACATTTAAACATTAGAAATCATTAAAAATCATAACATGGCAGTTTGAGGAATTTTAACCCAACAAGCTGGTTTAATTGCTCATTAAATTTGTGTAGTGAGGGATTCCAGTATTTGCCCTAGTCCCCTGCTCTCTAGCAAGGCAGAGCAGATGGTCATTGATTTCCTACATGGATGCACCTGAATATGGTACGTGTGCTGTCAAGGTCATCTAGTATACAAACTATTTTTATAATGATACTGGTTATGTTTGTTTTGAAGTCTGCTGATATACCCACCAAAATCAGTGCTGTGAGAGACAATGGATGCTGCTATATCCCAGGCCTGCACCAACAGAAAAAAATGTATATTTGGTTTTTGTATCTGTTTGAGTTATAGAATATATAGTTACTTCTGTAAGGGCAAAATGTTTAACGAAAAGCACTAATGGTTTACCATCACAATTACATACGTTTCAGTTTAACAAGCTAATGTCATGTCACATTATTTCATGCCTTAGCTTTCATGCATGTATTCGTTTGTTTTTGCATACTTCACTGCACATAACCATCCCCCACCTATATGAAAACATGACACACCACTTATTGGTTGGCTTTCTCCTGCCATTTCCCCCTTTTTAATCACCATGCCTCTAAGTGTTGCTATTGCCACTTGACATTAAGTATGCAGACTGAACATGGAATTTTCTTTGCGTCCCATCCGATGCATACTTATGTGAAACATTTTTGAAGTGATTGAATATTTTTTGCAAGTCTGTCGTTCCGGATAATGGAAGTGTGTGACCAATTTTAATATATTTGTTTCTGGCAGCCTGTAAGGCTGCTTGTTTTGTGTGGTATCTTAAGAGATGGCAGGGCGGCTCAGTGGGTAGATTTGTAGCCTCACACCTCCAAGTTGTGGGGTCACATCTCCAGCTCTCCGTGTAGAGAGTTTGCCCAAGTGCAAGGTGAACATACAGGTTTTCTCCAAGTGCTCATAATTGTTCTTTATATTTCTACATCCTGCAGTACTCTGGCATCCCTCCCAACCAGACTGTTGCTTGCTTTGTGCCCTGTGTTTAATGGGATAGGCTCTAGGCTTCCTGTGAATAAGCAGTTAATGAATGGGTTATTATATTTCGGTATGCATATTTGTGATGATTAACCTAATAAACTTTACAAGGAATTCAGCTGGGTTAACTTTTAAGGGGAATGACTTGTTTGTTTGCATGGTGCTTTGGAGACATTGAAATTGGTGCTTTCTTAACACGCAAAACTGTATAAGCTGGCTATGGCAAGACAGCTAAACAAAAACAGTTAAATTTTGTGCTTTGTGAGGCTGGGTGACATGTTGAGGCTTGGTGCTGAATAAAGCATGTACTCTGTGCGCTGCACCCACAGCATTGAAAGTCGGTAGATTTGTATCAATTAAGTTACATACCATTTATCAACTTGCAGAAACAGAACTGCATTATGCAGCTCACACCAATGCAATAGAATTTTGATTTAAGTTAACATTCTTTTGTTTAGTGGTGCTATTTAATCTTGTGCATGGTGGATTATTTCACATCTTGAACATTACTGGCCGTATCATCAATTACTGTAAAGGACTGCAAGTATATTCAAAGGCAAATGTAGTGAGTCTCGAGTTCACAATGCACAAATCAACAATTTAACACTCAGAACCTATTCGTATTTGCCACCCAAGGTCTGTGCCTCTATGACAAATCCTTCTGTAAATGTAGAGTAGTGATAATAAGTCTTTACTGCAAATTGTTGTACCTGTTAGTACATGAAATAGTCTTTTTTTTTTTTCTTTTTTCTCCTCCCTCTCCCGCAAAATAGAATTTGGATGATGGTGTTTTTTTGAAACGACACGCGAAGCTGGAACTGGATGAAAAAAGAAGGAAAAGGTAATGACTGACTGTTTTGAGACCAGTCCTCCTTTTAATGAACCAGAGTCCTCGTCCTTTATTAGATATAATGCCTTTGACCGTCTTGCGGCCACATTCAGATGGGACATCCAGCGGATTCGTGAGCAGCGCATGTTCCAGCGGCTGCAGCAGCGCATGAACAAGAAGAAGGGCATTCAGGAAAGTGAGCCGGAGGTGTCCTCATTCTACCCCGATGCCGAAGATGGTATGCTTTATGTTTTGATTTTTTTGACACTGCATTTTCCCATTCATTAAACAAAATATATGCTTCTGTTTTGTCAGTGAAAGTATCACAAATTGCAAATTTAGGTTCAATTAAAGTTAGGTATTAACTTTAGAAGGTTTGTGACTTTGTCAGTTTTGTTCCTTTGTAGTCACCCTTAGTAAAATAATAATAGATGCTATTAGCTTTATACTAGAGCGTTTCAGTTGACTGAAAAGAAAAACTTGTAGTCATTTGACTTTAGAAATGAGCCATTGGTCATTATACAGTGTTCCAGAAGACTTGTAGATTAGCTTGCATTAGTCTGTTAGCAGTGTATTGCACAGTTAAAATTAGAGTATATAAATTGCCCCATTTTGTTTTGAGTTTAAAATACCTTAATGAAAGTCTTTCATATTGAGGATAAACAGAATATGGTGATTTTGACTGATCACTTTTACAACCTTTGCTGGAATGCTGATGATTTGGTTTTTGCAGTGCCAAGAAGTACTGACAATTTGAATTTCTTTGAATGATTACAGTTAATCTTTAACACTTTAGATGTATGTTAGAAATTGCCTGGACAAATAAGAAAATGGACAGTTGTGTTTAAGTTATGGAGTATATACAGCACTTATACAGCTTTTCAAACTCACACTGATGCCATGCTGGATGCGAGTTTCGTGCCTTTGGGTGTAATGCAGTATGGTCCCTGTTATTTCGATTAATGTTTCTGTAGCGGTGGTTTCCATTTGGCAACATTTAAAAAGAGCACAATAAAGCAAGTGCAGATTTTCAAACAGTCGAACAACACTGATCACTTTCAGCATTGATATTGGTTAATGGTGTCATCACAAAGCATAGTACTACAGACCTAACACTGTATTTGACTAGACATTGATTATAAGATCAGAATGGTTTTCAATAACACAATGAGAAAACAGTGAAGTTATTAAAGAGAACTGCAAGGCAACAACCAAGGCTAGAAACCAAAGCATCGTTCTCTTACATTGTGTTTTCTGTTGACGTAATTTATTTCTCCTCCTTTTTCAAGTGGAGTCACTACTGATCACACCCTTCCTGCCTGTGGTGGCATTTGGACGACCGCTGCCCAAACTGACTCAACAGTAAGTCTAGTGCGCAGCATTTTGCCTCTTTCAGCTTAATGTCACCTTTCCCGAACAATGCAGAGTAACTATTTAGGCTGAATGTTTAATGGAAAGGAAAAGTTTAGCTGACCAGCAGGAGTCCTGAGTAATGGACTTTTTTGTTTTTGTCAGTTTAGTAGATTTGTAGGTGAAATGAGGTTTAGGATGGGCAGATATTTGTCAAGATTTGTTTGTGTGTGTTTGAGGGGGGACACTTTCATATTCTCTCCTCAGTGGGGAAAACTAAACCCATGTTGAAGCAAACATTAATCCAAGAATTCAGCTTTTGTGCGTTTGAAAAATTGGTACCATAGTCCCCTTCCGTAGCTTTGCTTGTCTTTGGAAATAATGATTGACTGTTCATTCACTGTGTAGGCTTCATGACCTGAGGTTTGCTTGTTTGTTTAATGTCAGCCGTCTCACTCATAAACGCCGCTTGCAGTGAGATCTCTCCCTCTCTCCTAAAGGAACTTTGAACTTCCCTGGCTTGATGAACGCAGCCGCTGTCGCATAGAAATGCAGAAGAAACAGACTCCACACAGAACTTGTCGGAAGTGAGGGATCCTCAAGCCAAGCAAGATTAAAATCTCGCAGAACGAGATTCTTCTAAGAATGAACTGGAGTGTGCACAAAAATACCCACTGTTGTAGCATGTAACATGCCCTCTTTGGCATGTCCGTCCTTCAGAACAGATTTCCTCAAATGTCATGAGAACAGAGACTCTCCTAGGGAGGCGTACCTGGCCTTGTGGTAGTTCTGGTTGAAAACAGCTACATTATATATGCCACACATGTAACAATGGATTTGTGTTTGTTAAAAAATAAACTTACAATATTTGGTTTGTAACCAGATATCCCAGCATTTGGTTATCTTTTTGTAATATGGTCTCTAAAAAGCTTCAGCCTCTTAACACCGAATTAAGCCTCCCAAAGTCAATCACCCTGCCTGATTATACAGTTAAACTTTAAACAGTGAGGGCTGTGTGAACTTAAGATGCCGAAAATTCCCCATTCCGTTTTGATTCGTTGATGTACATTTACATCAATGTAGGACTAGTCATGAGTCCATACAATGGAAATGCTTTGCAAAAAAGGATACCACAAGTTCCACTAGCGTAGCAGTTGTGAAAGTTTTGCCTTACAACTGAAATGGGCTGCGATGTATGGCATAAGCATATTGTACTTAACATCAGTGATATTTGGTATTTTGGAAATATAACGCGTAGTGTTTTTGTTTTACATTTATTATGAGTGTAGTAAATTTAAAGGCAAGATTATAACCCTGGGTTATAATGACCTTGCATCAATAAGCTATCAGCCTTGGTTGCTGTAATGTTCTTACTAACATTGCAAACGTTTGATACTGATTGTGCTCCACAGGGGTCTTTAACATGGCGGTGAATGTCTTTGGCAGTGTGGAGCACCATCCAGCAATGTACATGAGCGCAATATTTCCATTTCTAAAATGTAAATGTGTACAACAGTAGCTGATGTTGGTGAAAACCCATAAAGAATGATGCTTTATTATGCAGATATTTGCCACACAAGGGCCGCATTTCCCGCCTATATTTGGACCTTTTTGTTATTCTGTAGATATTTAGCATATTTGATCTGAATTGGCTGCTGAGCTGGGCTGGCAAATTTTATTTTCGTTGTGGAAAACCAGCAGAGGAAAACATACATGAAACTGTCTGATTTTCTTTGATAATGACCTGGAATGTGTCAAGTTAAATAACACAGGGTTAAGATGACGGTTACTCTAAAAGGGATGGTCCATGTATGTGGTGAACAATGTAATAGCTGAGGTACCCTTCTCTGTGAAGATGCTTAGAAAAATATACCCCCCCCCCCCCCCCCCGAGATGGTCTGCAGCAATGCTGACAGCAAACACAAGTGTGTTCATTTCATCTGTTCATATTGTCCTTTGGTAGTCCTGAGAAACTGATTCATATTAAGAAGGTTTATCCTATTTCTCAACTTTTAGAAACAATTTTTGTGGCTCATTACTGACTTTCATTTCATAAGGCTGTATATTTTTTGTGTGTAACTTCTTTCTGATGTGTCCCAAAACTTCACAGCTTTTCATCTTAAACACTCTTCTAAATTCAAAAATGTCGTAAGCTGAACACCTCTGCTATCTTAAATTTCCAGCATACAGTCTTGTAAATGGACGGTATTTTGTGACAAGCAGTACCAGTGATGTTTGGGCCATTTAATAAGCACTGCTGAACTCTTCTTTTGTTCTCACTTAGCAATGCTTTCTGATATGTGCCTGGGTCATGTTGAAACTGTTTGTTAAATGCGTTGTGTTGTCATATTGCTTGACCATTTGAAACTGGTGGATTGACCCCTGCAATTCTACAGAAATCAAGTTAAATTTTTGAAGCGCAAAGTCAGTTCCTATGTACATAACCTGAAACAAAATGCTGTATATATGGAAGACATGCCTGTTATTTTTATATTATTTAAAGTTTGAGTGTTAAGTATGTTCAGTATTGATATTCTTTAAAAAGAGCTTGTATGTTGATAAATTGACAAGTTTGTTTTGCAATAAAATACAAAAATTGAGAATGTATATCTTAGTTTAAATGGTTTCGCCTCAGTGCTGTTCTACGTTATAACGGTTCTATTCTTGTACATATGCAATTTTTATATATTAGGGCCTACCTTCTATGCTTATTCGTATCTCTGCTGACAACCGGTGATTAGTCGACCACTGGTATCGGTTCTATATTAAGACTACTTCTATAACCTGTAGAAACTTTTTTCAATAGTATTCGGCAGCCTAAAAATAAGAAAAATACATGAAAGTGTCCATTAAAACTGCAAAGACCGTGTCACTTTAAAATGTAGCAAAATACGGATTTCTTTTAAAATACAGGTAAAGTTGAAAGGTAAGATCAGTACCAACAAACAGAAACCTATATTGACAAAATAGTATCCATTCAGTACCAATGGCTGAGTGCTTTTCTTAACCGTGAAACCATTTGACTTAAGACGAAAAGCATTACTTAGAACTTATATGCAGGAGTTAGTTGTCAGGAAAGCTAAAGGTTGGATATTTACCAAATAGTGAGGACTATGCCTGAAATAACATAATATGTTTAGAGATAAAGCTCATTGGGAAGTACCGTTGCCTCACATCTCCAGACCTGGGGGTTGAAATAAAATACGAAACATAAAATATTCATGAGATTTGCAGATTACATCAGTGATTCTCAAAGTGTGGGGCACGGAGTCATGACAGGTGGGCCGCAAGAGACCTGGGGGAAAGTCGTACAGAACTGATGTTTAACATCGGAGTCATTTTTCACGGCGGAACAGAGAATTCACATTGGTACTGTTAGCAACCTGCTCATTCAGGGCTATCAGAGCCTTAAAGGGTCAAAATGGACAGATATTTAACAGGTACGAAAAGAAAAACAGGTGATGCTGCTGAGAGACACGAAGCAAGTGCCGAAAACCGGCAAAAAAAAAACAAGCCAAAAAGGAAATATGAAGAAGCATATCTTGCTCTGGGTTTCACTGTTAATGTGGTAGGAGATGAGGAGAGACCTGTCTGTATTTTATGTTTGAAAACGTTGCCAGCTGACAGTATGAAACCTAACAAATTAAGAAGACACTTAGAAACATTACACCCCAGTCACATCGATAAGCCACTCGAGTTCTTTCAGAGAAAAGAACAGCAGGCAACTTGATGAAGGAAACGCTGATTGCTTTGAGAATCTGTGTGCATTTGCTGAAGCCAGTCAGTTGGGACCTACAGTAGCACAGTAATCCCACGTCTTTAAGAACACATCTCTTCCCTGAGAGCATTTTTTCAGAAGTACTTCCCAAACAACAGTGATAAGTATGACTGGGTGAGAGATCCATTTAGTGCAGCTGCACCTACTAATTTTACTTCTGCTGAAGACGACCAGTTCATTGAGATGACATCTGATTCCACCCTCAGGCTGAGATTTGCAGCACAGACACAGTGAATTTTGGCTTGGTGTGGAGAAGGAGCATCCACTCATAGGACAAAGAGCTGTGGGCATTCTACTTCCCTTTGCCACGTCCTATCTCTGTGAGATGGGTTTTTCTGCTGTTGCCTCACTGAAAACAAAGTACAGATCTAGGCTGAACATTGAACATGAGTTGAGAGTGGCCGTATCAAGCCTGCAACCCTGTTTTGAAAAGCTGTGCAGTGAAAAACAGGCTCACTGCAGCCACTAAGAGTGACAAGTATTAAACTCTCACTAAATGCCTTGTTCAAGTTTCTCCATTTGTTTCTGTTTATACATACTAAATTTTATTGCTTTATTTCCAGAAAAGGGCAAATTCTGCTTAATTTGCCTTTTTTTTTTAAGAAAAAAAGTGCAGACTAATGAAGCAGTGTAGTGACAAATGTCACAGAAAGTTTTTTTGAAGTGAAAGTTTTTTTTCTTAACAAAAGTTACTGAAGAAATTAATGTTAATGAGTTCGATGTTATCTAAATAAAGTTACCTTGGATTTTACGTCATTGTTTTGTTGAGGTGGGACGTGAAAATATTTCTTCCTGCCGAGTGGGGAATGATAGAAAAAGCTTGAGAGCCACTGGATTACATCCACATTGTCTAAATCCAAGATGGCTAGGCATATTCAAGAGATTTATGTGATGTTGTGGTAGGTGATGTCAGGAACACAGATACCCCCAACAGACACACCAACCCAGCAGGTTAGAAAACAATTACAACTGAGGTTATAACAATAATATGTGATTGTTTACAAGTCTGTGCCCTCTGTTGAATTAGAATCCCATCCAGGGTGTGATCTGCCTTGCCCCCAGTGCTGTATGTGAAAAGGGTGGGAGAAGGATGGACTGATAAGGTTTTAAATGGATGTCATGGTGGCTTAATGGTAGTTGGGATGTAAATCATTGGCCCCAAGTAAAGTCTATTATGATTACAAAGGGAATTTATATCGCGATTAATCTATAATTTTTATGATCTAAATTGAAACCCTTTTTGTCACTAAAAAAACACATATATTACCATAACAAATGAATGACACACTAATGAAATGCAAGGAAAGTCCCAGAACATTTATTTTATCGTCATTGTTAAACAAGGAGAACACGCCAGTGTAAAACTGCCAAAAAGATAACTAATGAACTGTACAGGGAAAAAAAAAACATTAAAGGAAGCGTTACCTGATTTTGTGTGTGTGTGTGGGGGGGGGGATTAGAAGAATGACGTTACATCGTTATATTAAATGCTGTGAAAAACGAAAAAACAATCTACGAGCCATGCCGCAGGCAGGTACTTTAAGACCTCCTCTAGTGGTGAATGAGCCCACTAAATTCCGCATCCTCCACTACGGAAAATGGCTGATCGTCCAAAGCAACTCATCCATCCATCCGTTTTCTGTCCTATCCAGGGCTGCGCAGGGTCCGGATCGAGTCTATCCAATTCAATCATTATTTTACTACTCGCCTATTTAGCTCTAGTGTTGCTAATTCTGAACACGTATATAGTTTAAATGTCAGCCCGCAATATCAGCCAATTTTAACACAATAGACCGAGGCCGATATTTTGTTTTTTTAACGGGTATCGGCCAATGCCGATATGATAACCATTATATCATACATTTTTAAGACTGACGCGTCTACGTCACGTTTACTCTGCTACGGACCTACCTCGGGATCTTGCAAAAATGACGACTTCTTTGTGCTACAATACAAAGACGTTTCCCAAAAACGTCGTAGCTCAGAGATCCTCAAGCAACGCTTCCTTGGTGAACATCAGCCATCCGACGTTTCGGAGAATCGCCAGCCAGTGCTGCTAGTTTGCGCTTCTGCGTGAGCAGCATGTGAACGCAGGAGCTTACAAACCGGAAGCAGAAGAATCATTATTCCACCCCCATATCGCCACATTAAAAAATGACTCATTATGATATTCACACCTCCACCGGTAAGCACCTTTCACTGAAAACGCGTAATGCTTTCCAACGTTAAGGAGACGGTGCGCTGTAAGAGAGGGACTTTCTGAAAGTAAAACGAGGCTTCGGTTTCCAAGGTGTCTAATGTGTTTACGCAACATTTTGTTGAAGAGGATGGAGCTTGCTCTTCTGCCACCTCCACCTTGTCTCGCACTTCCATCATCTCCACCTTGTCTCGCACTTCCTGACGAACTCCTTGTTCCTTGGACTCGCCGGCTGGAATCGTTTCAAACATACGTGGAGTCCGATGTCATGGAAGCTCGGAAGAAATCAATACATTGCTGCTTAAACACAGAAGGACAGTCGATCTTCCAGACGCTCGGAGTCATTAAGATACATAGAGACGCTCTTTCGCTTCTAGGTTCAAATTTCGGGTGAGGTAATTCGCGCGATTTATCCAGCCTTTGCAAGTTTAGCAGCATGCAAGAAGTCATTCCCGATCAGCTGACTGAACACTAACTATTCTAAAGTTGGAAAGAGACATCTGCCGACGATCTCTCTCTTTTCCTAGCGCGATTCAAACCGCATTTCAAACTGAAACCACAGCGGAATTCACATTTTAATCCCCGCTAGCCTGCCCACTTGCACAAGTATCTGCATCATAACCACCTGATAGCGCCAATTCATCTGCTGTTGGTTCGGACGTGCAATACATTCAGGCACCGCGCAGGCAACAACGGCGACACTGTGGGAATCGCGGCTCACTTCGTGATGTTAGCAGAGCCCAGAACTGCCCTGCTTATGGGCGACGGGGCCAGCGCTGCGGCAAATTGAATCATTTCGCTAAAGTATGCTGTTCAAGCCCTGCAAATTCTACAGCACAGTTATCCTCCATGGCACTCACACCTGCTTATAATAATAATAATAATCGATACTTTATTGATCCCCGTGGGGAAATTGTCTACAACTGTTAATACTGTCAGCTCCAAACGTCAATCTTTTAAAACCTCCTCTGTCGAGGGGGACAATATATGCCTCCCCTCCTTTTGAATAATCGGCTTGCAGTGTCCCTGTTGAATCAAGCTACTGTATAGTAGTTTTTCTCCTGTGTGACATTTCTAAGGACACTACTGTTTTATGTGGCTATGGCAGTTCCAAAACTGTATTTATAATTGACGAATGGTAGGGTCCATCCAGCTGTCAGTCCATGATGTACCTAAACTAGTCCCAGACTTCCCCTTTCACTTCTCGCACCATAGAGCTAACTTATTGGACCCCGATCTTTTTACTACTTGGATCCTCCCTCTGTCATTTTAACCATCAGCTCACTGTGGCAGCAGTAAGCAGCTCTATTCGAGGGCCTAGGCTGTCTCTCTGCATTTAATCATCAGCCCCTACTTAATTCATCTGTCACATCACTTATTCAGCCTTGCATCGGTTATCTTCCTGACCGTGTTACTGCTGAGCTGTGCCACCTGCTGGAGGCAAGTAACATTGAGCCAGTTAATACTTCTCCATCAATCTCAAATATTGTCATAGGTACAAAGAAATGTGGAAGCCTGCGTTTCTGCGTTGACCTCCAGGCTATAAAAACAAGGCTGTCGTTCCTGATACATACAGTGGTACCTCATAACTCGAACTTAATGCGTTCAGAATTCCGGATCGAATCCTGAAAAGTTCGAG